GTATTTTTTTTTATCTTAACGAAATCGGCTAACTTAATGATGAAAAACACTTAACTTACCCAATATTGCCTCGCACTCAAGCTCAATATATTATCATTTAAACGATTGGAAGATTGTTCCAAGCACTCAACAAAATCTTCGATGAAGTAATGCCGTCGGCTGAGAACGCAAAGGTAATTCAAAACCGCGACTAATAGTATAATCGGCGATTAGATGCAATAATTGATAATGGCGAGATATTTGCCACCGGTTCGCCTGATTTGATGACGGCTATAATTTAAAGCACACAGTCATTGGGCTGGCGCGGAATGTTTATGAAAATTGCACATTAAATCTTTGTTTGTGGCCCAATAGTCTGTCAATTACAGCGTTATAGTTCCCGTTGTCGTTGTAAACGCCGTTGTTGTTATTGTTGTTGGTTTATTATTTTAACACTTTCGAGAAAGAGCGCGCCGGCGGGTGCCAAGTGATCTAGCCCGTTTTGGTTTTAGTTTTGGTTTTGGTTTTGGAGTCGCAGCAATGCGAGATGCGAAGCGTCATCGACTGAACTGAATGGTGTGCGAGTTCTCCGCTGTCTGTGAATCGCTGTTAGTTTCCAGGAACCGCAATCGCATGTCCCACTCCACTCCACTCGACTCACACTCACACTCACACTCAGATATACTCGGATATACGACGCCGACGCCAAGAGTCACCCAGAGCGATGCGAACAAGGCTAAAGCCATGGTGTATCCATAGCCATAGGGAAAATCGGCAACAACGGCGACCGTGACGAACGCGGGACGGGGGTCCCAGGAAAACTTCGGCTTCGGCTCTTGGCATCATAAATAGTAGATAAACAAATAAATAAAGCGGCGTGGGGAACTGCCTAGATATATGACGGACGTATATCTTTCGGACTAAACCCGCACCCTCGAAGGCGCACGCACACCCCACAACATTCGATTTTCCTATGGCCTTATTCGATTCTTCGATTTCGGGTCTTTGTCGTGTGGGGGTTGCAGCTCCGTTCCGTTCCAGATACATAAATTCGCCGGTGACAGGAATCAACCACCGACCGTTGACGCCCCCGCCCCAAATATTCGTATCCGAATCTATATCTGTATCTGTATCTGCGCAGTGCGCGATTCCAAGCGAAACAGTACCAGTCACTTGCCACAGACATAGATACAGATACATATACGGATACACGCAATAAATCGCTCCGTGCCACGTCGAAAATCAATCACCATCGACATGAACGGATGCATCTTATCGTGCGCAGACTCCGTTTTATGAAAACCGACTTTTCGGGGTGGAAGGCCACATATCGCATGTGCTTATTTACTTTCCCAGCACTTAGGGGTTTAATATAGGGAGCATTAATTCGCAAATGTTGTCCATTTAATAGGACGACCTGCCGAATTAAGTTTGACCCTCAATGAAATCGAAAGTTCTTAATCTAAAATGGAATAATTGTAAATATCTTTGAGCTTTCGCAGAGTCAACCGTAAAGGCACTATTTACTATACTTCCATTTGCCTCTAAAAAAATACTATTTTCTTAACAGCTCCCTTTTTTCACTTTTACGTTTTTTATATTGCTTTTGTCTCTACAAGGCTTTTTATTATAAACCTAATAATGAATCATTTCGTACTATTAATAAATGTTTTAAGAAAGGCAATGAAAATGTATAAATGTAAATATATGTGTAAAGTCTATCATCTATTAAGTCCCACTGGACCAAAACATCATAAACGATATCGTAAACGATAATAAAGCGAGACTTAATCGTGTAAAGAATGTTGTTTTCAGATACGAAAACGATACAAAAACGCATCATAAGTCGCTCTGTTTGTAGCAGATAAATATTAAAAGGACACCCTTTCTATGCACCTCATAAAACTCTCTGCGATTATTAAAGTAAAAAAGTAAAGGAAAGGAAAACAACAAAAATACTTACCAAGTCGACCCAATCCGGTTTCAGACCTAAGACCTTTGGATTTGTAGACGCACTAGCAGGTTGCGCCACACAAGGTTCGTATAAGGATTCAAATTTTTGAAATCAAATGGAATTTATTAGCTTACATTTTAAAGTTAAAATCATAGAAAATTAATATAAAAACATAAAATTAACAACTACAAAAACAAACAAAAATATAAAACAAATTGTTCTCCAAGGCTGGAATTTAAGTATAATGAAATGTAAGTAATTCGAAATGGAAAGTAAGTGCCGTAATAAACCTTCTGTCTACCGAGTGTACAGTTTGGTGACCGTACCGGCGATCTAACTGGGCATGGATGTGTGCTAAATTGAAAGCCAACAAAGGCAAGGGTCCAGAACTCTGCCAGTTTGTGTTCCAAACAGAAATCTGGCAGTTTTCCATACCGTTCTTCGGGTGATGAAATGAGGATTGAGGGGGGATGAGGTGAAAAGAGCGCCAGCGACACGGTCCAAAGATCCGACTCGACGCCTTGCCAGGTGTTTACCTGCGAAATGTGTTGCAAGCTTTGTGTTTCGGGGACAGCGGACACTTCCTTAACCGGTGCCAAGACGAACCGCTAAGTGACTGCACAAACAACGCGTGCTAGTGTCGTACGACTAATCCAAATTGTTTAACTTTCCTCCCTCAACACTTCCATGCGACGTACAAGAAGGGCGAAGAACGATAGTGTCTCTAAAATCTGAAAATTCAGCTTATACTTTGTTTCTCAATTTGTTTAACAACATAATATATTTAATTTTGGTCGTTTTCCGATGGTCCCATATAAACAATTACATGTTTGATCTGTTTTGTTTTATTTTGATGGTGTTTATTTAAACAGAAGCTTTTTGGTTCCGCCAGAAATCATTTTTATACGCAATTGTGAATTTTATTTTCCTGATGTTTTGTTATTTCAAGATTTATAAATTAATTTGGCTATATCGCAGCAATCCTCAACTTACAAATTTTTTTTTACATATTTAAAAGATTTGTATTACATAGAATTATTTTCAGTTCACAAAGTTTTTTAGAAGTAAAACGCAAATAAAGAATTACAATTATTTTTTAAGGTCGAAGTCTTTTAAAACATGGGCCGGACATGGACATGGTCGAAATTAGTTATCGGGCTGTATATGTGTGTTTTTTTTCAAATCGGCCATTTAATTTTAGAAGTTATTGAGTCTGTCGCTTTGACGGAAAAACATTGTTCTATGCTCATGTTCTATGCTGCCTAGACCCCGATTTTTTTTGTGGGGGAAATTTTAGTATAATGCTTTAAGTCAATTAAAATTTAAGGTGTTATTGATGGAACTGCTAACCAAGTGTCTTATCATAAGGTTTCTAGGAATCCAAGAAGAGCGCGCTGGAGAAGTAGCCCTAAATCCGTCACGCATTCCCTTTGCACCCACACTCCTTGCCAAACGGCTTCGAGGCAAATATTTTGACGGTTTGTCAGAGAAGTGACAAGACAAACCCGCACCGGAACCGATAACGTGGTGCCCCAGTATTTGGCTGCGTGGTTTTGGCTTCGGGTTTGGTCTCAACTCAGTTTCTTCTTAAGTGCCGACCGTGTTAAAGGGGAAATCACACATTTGGCCCGATTTGCATTTACTTGCGACTCCAGGCCGACGATACCTCTGGGCGGTGATTTACAATGTCAAATCGATCGGGCACTGAAGACACGATTACATTCGGGCCAAAAAACATCTTGGCAGTCTACAGTTTGTGACGGAGGTCGAGGTGCGAAGTTGTCTGTCAGGGCAGCTACTGTTCTGCACTCTCTATAAGCCCGAGGCCCGCGCATCGAAACGGAATTAAAGATGGCCATTGCCGCGAAATAACCGCTGACTTGGCACCGGACGTCTTGATACTTATGCCGAGAAAATGGAAAATTCGATGTCGCCATTAACATTTATTGCTACTTTGGGAAAACTCGATTACACCACCACCGCGCACACTGCAACGTCAGTGCACAGCCGCCATTTTATGAGTCGCGCCTGGGCACTTATGGCATCATCAGGACCTCGAGGGGATGATCCGGTGGAGGATTGGCATGGATGTGGCTGGCAGGATGGCAGGATGGTTGGAGAGCTGGAGAGCTGGCAGTCCTCGTAAAACGGATTTTGCGCTTAGTCAGTATGCGTGCAGCAGTTTTATGGGCCGCTCCGGCACTCGGAAAATGTATACAGTTTTCCATTTACAACCTTCGCGCTCCAGTGCGCCTGCAGCCTCCGCTGGCCGCCATAAAATATCGAAATGTTCGCAGTTATAAAAGTTTATGAGTGCAGGCACCCAAATTGGTATTGCCCAAGCTCTGGGATCCAGGACACAGGGTGGAAACTTGTCAGAACTTGGCACTCGGCCAGCTGGGAAACTCTCCGGAAATGGACAAATATGTGGCATTCACGGCCGTCACAGTGTTCTGGCTGCTCTTCGCCGTCATTGGATTCCTGGTGTCCTACCGATTCGAGGAGCGAGGCATTATCCGGTGCTGCGTGATCCTCACGGCCGTCTGCTGCTACCTGGCCTGGCTGGTTACCTTCCTGATGCAGCTGAATCCGCTGGTCGGACCACGGGCCAACCAGAAGGTGATATTCGGCATGATAACCTACTGGTCCAACTCCTTTATCCACGATCAAAGCGACCCTTGATACCGCTTGAGATTATATATTTTTAATGTACAAAATAAAAAAAGAAGTTCGTGTTCGCGGAGTTCTAGAGGGTGACAAATATATTTCTAGTCGAGTAAAGTTACAATTATCCTGATTCTCGTCAGTAAGACTAATGCAGATGAAGTAATTTGTTTATTTATTGTCTTACAACCGGCTTAATTAAGGGTGCATATAAATTAACATAACTATATATAGGCCACACAAACAGACTACAATATGTTATTATTCAATTATATGCCTCCAAATAAAAAAAATGTTGAAAGTAATCATACCCTATTTTAAATAGCATTCTTCTGGTGACCCTAGGTAAATCGCCCAAAAATCTATGCTAAGCCTTCTCTTCTAGACGGAGTTAAAATTGTACTTTTTTCGTTCTTAAAATTGTTAATGTTTATTGAAATATATTGTATAAATTTAAAAAGAATTGTTTTATATCGGAGCTTGCAGGCAGCCTTGCAGCTCCTCTACGAAATCGAGGACCTTCTCGAAGTTTGGATGCCTGTTCAGGCACTCTGCAATGAAGTCGACGGAGTTGCAAACACCCAGGGATTGGGCGATTTTCACGCCGTATGTCAAGGTCTCTTTGGGCATCTTCTTGCGAATATAAATGTCATCAATCAAATCGGGGCGATAGGAGTGAATAATGGCGCACAGGGCTCGACCACTGGTCCACGATTCACTGAACTCGTACATCGGCAGGCCGTAGGGTTTGACCTTCCGTTTGCACCAGCGAAGCATGTTTATCCGCCGGTTACCGAATGTTTTCCCCAGATACTTCGGTATTAAATCGTTTCTGTGTAATAAGGATTCACTTAGCACTGAATTGACTGATGGGCGCCCATTAACTGGTACAGAAGTGTTTGGCCTAGCTATGTACTTCGGCATCGAATTGGGTATTGATAAGTTGGGTGCACATGGGCTTGGCACAGAAGAGTTAGAGCGCTTACAGCCTGTTTCTTGGCACACAGATCTAACCAGTTCCTTTAACACACCAGGACGTATACACGTCTTGGAGGTTGTGGGTGTTACCTGGGGCTTGTATATCTTGTCCCACATAAACTCCGGCAACTGTGGATACTTCACTGGGGGTTTTAAAAAGCTGACACATTTATTTTTAAAACCGCAGGCATTCGTTTGTGGAGTGGGAGCTAAGTTAACCACTTTGTTTTTTGGCGGTAGCAGTTTCTTAATGCTGGTTCGTTTCCAACTTTGTCGAACCTTAATAAGGTTACTTTGAAGGGATTCTGAAAGCTGGCTCCACTTGACGCTGCACTCCGGGAATTTAAGGCGGTTGTAAAAGGAAAAGGCTTTCAGGACCTTATCGATTACGCTTAGAGTCTGTTTCCTCTTGCTTCTCAAACGTCTTATTGGATTAACTTCTGAATTAATGGCGCACTTTCTGCCTACTTCTACCCCGAATTGCAGCCTTTCTTGCCCAAAGCATAGTTCGTCTATATCCTTTTTGATCTCGCACATTTCGGTCTTGGCTTCCACGAAAGTTTCTTTAGCCAGCTTGAGGCGGTACTTTAAATTTTTAAGAGTTTCGCGCTCCGATTGATTTAGCCGTGATGACTTATTCACGGCTCTATGACCTCGATTAGAAATTCTGCATTTTCTTTGCGTAACTTGAACCTTCAATCGTTGCAGACTTCTTTCCCTTGGTTCAATCTTTTTACGCAATCGGTATTGGTGTTCCCTTAGCTCTTTATTCTGTTCGCTGATGATCTTTAATTTGAGCTTAGATTTCGATAGGCTTTCCTTGAGTGCCCTGACGCACTTCTGCTCCTCGACGAGCCTTAGTGCCGTGTCATGCAGTTCCATGCGTGCCTGGTGGGCAAAAGATCGCTCCTTTGCTAGCATCAGATTGTGGCCAATTAGTTCTAGTTCCCGCCTCAATTCCGCATTTATCAACTTTTCGCGCAATTCACTTAACTCATCCGAGGGACTCACATCCAAATCGGTTTCCGTATTTATGTGTCTTAAGCACTTTGTTGGGGCATCTCTAAGAACATTCTCCAGTTCGCAAAGAACGGCATCAACGCTCAACTGAAAGCCGATTTTGGACTTTCCTTCTATCTCGCCCAATGGCAACTCCAAGTACAAACGCTTTGTTCGCCGGTAGCCTGAGAATAAACTATAAATACAACTGCCATTCCTCTTAGGTACTTACATCGTGAGAAGATTTCCGCGTATGTCATCTTGTCCTGTTCGCTCAATTCATAACTTTCCACATACTTCTCCCTCATCGCCCTAGTCAGCAGAATTAGCTTTCCCAAGCAGAGTTTCATCTTGACGGCTTCCTGGCTGCTCCAATCCCCGGTTTCTTCACTCAACCTCGCGTCATTCTTCAAGTCGGACAGTATGGCTCTTATATGGCATATACGTTCCTTCATTACGGATCTAATAACCACTGAAAAATAACTAAAAGTAAGTATGATAAGGCAAAGAATTTAAAAGCAAATAAATAAAACGAGTATGAAATGAAGTTACATTTGCCTTGTCAAATCTAAACACTGCACTCAAAAAATTATCGTATTGAATGTACCGAAAACTTGTATTTTTATACTCGTAGACTTTATATACAGTGTGGCCCACAAAAAAGCTGAGTTTTAAAATGGCTAGCAAACGCTAGATGGGCCACCCTGTGTCTAAGGCGCTTTGATTTTAATAACATTAATATTTCATTTAGCACATAGCTTTCACTGACTAAGACCACTGGCTCAAAAATATTTTAAGGCTAAAATTAAACATTTAATAGAGTTTCAGATGTAAACTTTTTTTTCCGAAACGTTTTCCCAACAATTTTTCAGTTGTCTTTAGAAACGAAGTGGACAAAATGGAAAATGGCTACCCCGGAAGTCCTTGCAGTAGGTTATTCGATCGACCGATGGACCACATTTTTAAGACATTTTCAATAGTATAGTCCTCAACGGCTTTAATTTAATTAATTTAATTTTTGAAAATTTAGCCTTATTTTAAACCATATTTATATTAAATAAAATGTATTTAAATCAAATAGGAACAGCTTGAAATCTTATATTTTCAACATTAATTAAAGTATTTAATATTAAATCATGCAATTAACAATATTTATATTTACTATTCCATTTTTTTATCAGTGTAGAGAGTTGGCAAAACCAAGTAGCCGATTAGTTTTCTGTCAAGAGTTTGCATATTTAAGAAGTCTAAAGAAAAATTATTAAAGCAAAGCGAATTGGGTCATCCGCGGTTGAACCTACTTTTGTAACAACCTGCCTGAGACATGAAAAATTATTCTAGAATTCTAAAACAAATAATTACATTTTTTTAAAACTGGTAGACACTGAAAAATGTTCATATTTAGATATACAAAAAGAAAAGTATTTTTGGAATAACTTTAAAATGGGCTTAAGAACTACATCTAAAATTTGTAGTATCCCTATTATTTTAGTGCTACGTATCGTTTGGTGTATTACTCGTTACGATCGGACCATCACAGCAGATTTTCAATCATTCAATCATTTCGGAAATCGATACTTTCAGTTTACTTGATACATCGATAAATTATTTAAGAATCGACAAGCAGTCAGAAATGTAGCCGCAAGCGGCCGTTTCTTGAACTACTCATAACTACGATTAACAAAACGCCACCTACAATCGTAGCAAACAGCTTGTGTTTATGAGCGCTTTTAAACGGCATGAGAGTTTTCAGAAACCTTCAGAAACTTATATTAAACAATTTTTTAATTTTTATATTTGTTCTAATAATTATATTTATATTTCAGAGCAAGAATAACAGGATAAAACATTAAAAACTGATTAATATCTGTGAACGAAATAAAAATTATATGTTAAAATGTGATTTTTAATTGAAAGAAGACTGACTTACCTGTAGTAATTGGCTTTGAAAGGCCCGGCCTTGTTCAAGCCCATAAACTTGGCCTGCTCGTCCGTGAGCTCCGTGAGATGAGCATCGAAAGTGGCCAAATGCAAGCTCGCTACGTACTCGTCTGGAATTACACATTAGGTTTGGTTAGGTTAAGTATGGCTGAGGGTGGACAATATTTGCAAATGATGATGGAGTTCCATCTGCTTTAGAGAGACTAGTATCAATTTGATTTAGGAGTAGCTTACAAGTCATGGTGACCTTCTCGGCAAGCCCAGCTCATCAGCTATGCAATTCAATATAATGTCGCGGTGACCAGACAACCATATAAGATAGATTCTGAGATGATTGGACATCTCGTTAAAAGATTGGCTCGTTGCTCCTAATAGCCAGCAGAAAATGCCATTTACGTCCAAGTTGCTTTCTTACTAGCGAACAGATCTAGGACCCATGGGGTTCCATTGCTAACGATTCTAGTACCTTGGGCTAATCCCATAGTTGAGGTGACTTTAGTGGAGGACCCTTCTATGTCTAGAATACCTGAAATCTTTTGTAGAGGTATGTGATGGTTTCCCTGCCCTAAACTACGTAAAATTTTACTAAACGCCTTAAGGGGAATTAGCATATTTCCTACCCATTTTTTTTGGCAGCAAATATACATCCGATTTATATCTTCCTGGCGCTGAGAAAAGCTCAATCAGGGCCAGAGCTTGAGTGGATGAGGCAACGGATACGACAAACGAAGAAATAGTTGAGCATGAGAGATTCACTAGTCTTCCCTCGGCCAGCAGAATTATCATTTTATTATCTGGCCACCTAATGTGGTCAACTTGGGAACGGACTCGCTCCCACGTAAGCTCCGGGGTATGCAATCCATTCTGAAATCGATTAAAAAAAATGTCACAATACATCTGGGAAACTTAGGTGTTCCCAAAAACTCACCACATCAATTTCCGAACAAGAATGGCCCATATTACAGAGTATACATCCGTTTTTCATCCGATTCATGTGATCCCGGGTGATTACATTTTTGTTACCCGTTGCCGTGACCACCACATCTACGTTCCGAATGACTTCGTTGAGCCGCACCACCCGGAATCCGTCCATGGAAGCTTGTAGAGCACATATTGGATCCACCTCTGTGATGTAAACGATGCAGCCTTGACCCTTCAGCGACTGGGCACAGCCCTTTCCAACATCTCCGTAGCCACAGATCACCACCTGCTTTCCACCAAACATAATGTCCGTGGTACGTTTCAGACTGAAAGGAAAATAAGACAAGAATTCAAATAGATCTACGCTATAAAAAACAGTATTTAATCCATATCAATCTAGCTAAAATTGAAATTAAACAAGTAAGGTCAGGCTAATATTTATTTACTTTAAAAGTCTTCTCAGGCAATTGAGCAAATGAAATGTGGGCAGCATGTAAGTGCTTAATCCGTATTTTAAGAGGGTAGGTTAATTTACCTTTTCCCCATGATAATAGTGAACATTCGAGCTTACCTGTCGAGTATGGAGTCACGACACGTGTAGAAGGTATCAAACTTGTTCTTGGTGACCGAGTCGTTGACGTTGATGGCCGGAACAGTGAGCTTTCCCCCCTTGGACAGCATGTACAATCGGTGAACCCCGGTCACACTCTCCTCCACGATGCCCCGGATGGCCTTGAAGTAGTCCGGATATTTCTTCAGCATCAGGTGCGTGGCATCGCCGCCATCGTCCAGGATGAGGTTGGGCTGCCAGCCCTCCGAGTGGATGGCCCTGTCCAGACACCACCAGAACTCCTCCTCCGTTTCGCCGCGCCACCCGAAGATGGGAATTCCCGCCTCCGCCAGGGCAGCGGCCACAGCGTTCTGGGTGGAGTAAATATTGCAGGCCGCCCAGCGAACGGTGGCGCCCAGTTGGATCAATGTCTCGATCAGCACAGCAGACTGGGCATTTATGTGGGTGCATCCCACAATGTGGGCTCCCTTCAGGGGCTTCTCCTCCTTGGCCCGCTTCCGCAGCGTCATGATGCCCGGCATCTCCGACTCCGCGATCTCGATCTCCCGCCTTCCAAAGGCGCTCTTCGAAATGCTCTTCACGCAAAAGTCGGTCCCGCCGGCGGAGTTGCGCTGCTGGTTGTCCTTCGGCGAGATCTCATCCTCGTCGGAGCTTCCCGTAAAACAGGCTTTCAGGAAGATTTATCAGGTTATTCAAAAAACATAAATGTTCTTAAATATATAAATAAAAAGAGTATGGAGAAGTTTTAGTAGCTTAACACAGAAGGTTTAAGGTTTACTTCAAATCTAAGTTCACGCTTGACCTCGAGCTAGCTAAACTTATCACAAAATGTATTTTTTATTTTATATAAATAAACTTACTTGAGCTGAATGAGCAGGTTGACACATCTGAAAATCGTCGAGCTTCTATACTGGATTTTTTTACAGCAGTCTAGTGAAAAGAAGTATACATTTATGGACTAATTAATCCGATGGAAGATAAAGCAAAGAAAATGGAGTTAGACTTGGCCCAAAAATTGTATTGTTTAACCAACTTTAAGTAGATGATGAGCTCATTATGCTTAGATGATGACAGATAAGAAGTGAATAACAAACACTTACTATTAATAAATGCTTTTAAGAAGCATTAGCACTACTTGAAAAAAAAACTGTAAGTCTTTTACCCAATAATTTAATTTATTCTCAGGTGTCCATATTTCAGCATCTTCAAGTGTTAATAAATAAAAATACAATTGCCGATATCTAATCAAATTGATTACACTCCTTGACTAACTAAACATTTATAACTTGCCGTATAATCACAGCTAATGGTACCGATTCAGAGACTCATGAATTTATTGCACTTTCCAATTAACAAATTACCAAAATCGCAATCGCACATACCTGTAGTATGTAGGGATCTATCAATTTTTGATGAGAAACTTATTTGTGGGCGCGAATTCTGCGTCATTTCCAGTGAAATCTAGATTTAAGTGCAAAGAAAAGCCCAAGGGAATACATTTGAAGCTTGTCACTAATTGGCGTCGTTTAGCATACCGGCGATAATTCGTTGCGCCAATTGATTCGGGTAGATATGAAATCGCGAATATAGATCCAGAATCCGGACCTCGGTTGCTTCCCGGAGTGTATGTAAACAGTTGAATTAATGAAATCTACGATTGTATACTTTTGCATTGTGCCTATTGTTGTTTACGTTTCGGTGGCCATATGGAATAAACATCTACATCTATCTACAACATTATATTTTTTTACGATCTTAATAAGCCGATATTTACTTCTCGAGTAGTTCAATCTTTTGATTAGGAGTTTGAAGTCTGCAAAGCTAATAAATGTAAGATTTATTAGATTGATTTATTGGGGCCATGTGGTGTGCTACGTATTCTATTAGAGTCATTGTCTAGTTCGCAGATCGTTTAAAAATTAGATCATTTTGCTATTTAATTTGCTTGACCCCTATCAGAATCTCCCAATTAAAGCTGTCTTACTGGATTTGTCGTGCGATCACTTTCACGAAGGGTATGAGCAGCTTCGAGGTGAATGTCTCGCCTTAATTTATTGTTCAGAGAGCGTCTTTGGGGGCTTTGTTTGTTTGTTAAAGTGTCACGTGCTGTTTTCATTTTAATCGCCAAGTTCAGCGATTGAAACAAGTTGCGTGAATCTTTAAGTGGCTAATAAATATTCACTATGATATTCCGATTGTTATATTTACCTTATCAGCCAGACTCAGGTCGGCAAACGTAGTCTCTGGCATTTGGGACATTTTGGATGCACTGAGAACCGATAAAGAAAAAAAAACAAAAAGTAAACCAACCATTCGAATGAAAACAAACAAACGTAGTCATTGCCAGAAATTATTCAAAAAAGAGCGAATGACCTTCGGGGACTTACATTTAGACGGATCAGAAACAGGTTATATGCTCGGCTTTGTTGCGTTTTATTCCGACTTCCTACGTTCTATGCACCCCAGAGACCGGCTCTAATCAGCCAGTGCAAGTGTTGGATATCACCTAGACTACGAGCTTATATCCTATGATATCGCACAACGTCAGTTCTGGTGGAGATCTCCGATCAGACTAGATCGGCCCGCGTTTCGAATTTAAACGAGATCGCCAATCGATCGATTCCGATTCCGATTCCGTCCGCTTCACTTGCCAAGATCTCCTGCTCTCGGGGTCTTTTTGCCTTGTGTATCTGGGGCGATCTCCGGCCGCAGACGTCCGCTCGCGACTGGGGCAAACAACGAACTGACTCACTGCCCCGGGTTTATAGGGAGCAGCACGATCGTATAGAAATAAAGAAACACGGCGACTAAAAAACAAAAAAAAAAAAACGAAAACAAAAACAAAATCGAAAACACAACAAGACCACGGAGCGCAGTATCAGCACCGGTTCAAATAAAAGATCGCCACATTTTTGAGAATCTTATCATGGCGCGGCTCTTATCGCTCCGACCCCCGTCGAGCTCCCCACACTCATCCCGCTTGGGTACTTATCATGATCCAACTTCACCCTATGCAGTATTCCCGAGATTACGGAAATCAATTTCGACTCTGACGTAGGCAAAGTGTCCACTCGGATAAGTGGACTTGTTATAATGGCTAGAGTGTAAATTCGTTTTGAAAAACAGCTGTAATTAAACCCCCAAAACTAAAGCGCTTGGTTTCTTATCTTCGAGTTCCAAGAATAACAATTTTGAAAGCAATATATTCTATTTTTTCTAAAAAAAAAAACACAATAGAATACTACTTTTTTATTGGATTATTCTTATCAAGGTTTTAAGAAATAAATGCTAATAATTGTAAACTAACTCAGACGCAATCAGCCTATTATTAATAACAAAGTCTATTCTGTTCTTAATTGCTGCTCGATTTCTTATGAAGTCTAGTGGAAAATTATATAACTATTTTATTCTGTTATTTTTCATTTCAATGAAGAAGTCAAAATATTTTAAAAGTCTGCTGTTACGACTAGTATATAGAATAAGATAGAAGAGATCTAATAATAATCTTAGAAATAATTATAAAATATTTTAAAGAAATCGTCTGAAGCATTAAAAATTTCTATAAAATTTAAATACTTCAATCAAAATAAAAACACCAAACGATTTAAAGCTTTTATTAATTTTGATGATAATGATGTGAACCGCGTTTTTATTCTTTCTTTTGTAAATTTCAATTACTTTTTTTAGCAATTGGTTCGTTTACCCATTCTAGCAGGGGGGTTGTTCATTAACTTTACTTTCTAACGTGCCATTCGGCCATTTTCGCCAACGTTACCCAATGATTTGATTGCATTCAATTTTATTGGATGCCCGTACGCTTTTAGCGCGGCCATAAAGAGGGAAGAATTTTAATCAAGGCACCGAAATGGGAATTACGCCATCAACCCTCATCGGAAAACCTGGCCAAGGGATGCTGGGTAAGGGTTGCAGCTGGCAGCGGGGGATGATTGTTACCTTAAATTGGTCCAGAATCAGGGGTTGCGAAATTCATTATGTGCAGCTGATGGTCTAATTGGTCGCCTTCAATTCTGAGTAGTATCTCAAAAAGAAGTGGCCGATGCGTTGTGCGTGATAAACATTTATTATACCAGCTTCTGTTGATAATTGTGATGATCTTGTAGTCGGATTTTATTGCACATAGCGGATGAGTTCCCTTAGGGTTTTATTAACAAAAGACAGCGCTTTATAGGCAAGTATTTTGTTTATTACATAAACTATAATTGTGATATTTCATAAGACTAAACTTATGAGAATTTGCACATCCTAAAATACAATCCACATTCTATAGTTTGGCATGCGCAGTCACCGTCGCACTCTTATTGCACCGAGAGTTTTCAAACTCTTTTTTTTATAATAACCACACAGTCTGCGATTTGGTTCTATTTACAATTACGTACTATTTACAAATAGTTAAATCTACGCTCGTTTATGTACAAGACTCTACTTAATACCGTCAAGGCTGTACCTATATACAAGAAACCTGTGCCTTTGTCATGGATCTGGCCTCAGAGCGATCCCACCTTCTCCATGAGATACCACGGCAGGAAAACGGAGGCGGCCACCACGGCCACGCAGGTGGCACACATGGCCACTGTCGCCGAGAGGCTTGTGATCGAGAAGTGGTCCTCCTTGTCCTCGAGCTCCTCATGCGGATGCTTCTCGAACTCCAGGACCTCGACATCGAAGCGAAACCGGACTTTCGATTCCGGAGAGTCCTTGCGCCACACCAAATGGCCAGAGGACTCGCGGCGCTCCAGACTCCATTTCGGATCGTGAACTAAAACGTAAATAAACAAAATCATCATTAAATATAAATAACTAAAAATAATCAAACTCTAAAGGAAACTTTTCGAGCAAGGACTTCCGAAATTAAAAAAAATAAAAAGTGGTTTCGAGAAAAACGCATTTTGGTGCTTGTATTCCTAAATAGTTATACTTAAAATTATCAAACAAAAATCGAATAGCCTTGTTGAGAATGAAATTTGGATAAGTCAAAAAAGTTCGACACACAGCAGTTTTACATTATAAAGAAAAATCCTAGAAGTATGCTTTAAAATGTATTTCCTGACATCACCTTAAGCTGATCGTGACACTTTAACTGAAAGTTGTTAATCAGCTATTTTTAAAATTATGGTTTCCAAGTGATTGTGATCTGTCTACAACTTACAAAGTAATATATCCTATTTTTGATGTCAAGTTAATTGTTTTAATTTAAATATTTACCTGATCCAGTCATTGTGCCTTTTTTGGAATAGATTCAACTCGGAACCCTGAAATGGCACAAAAAATTTCATTGAATAAATTAAAAGAAAAGCATTGCGTATGTAGACACCGATTAAATGAAGTGTTTGTTATTGTACTTCGGGAAATGTGCTGATACCTATGAGTAATCGGCCGTTCTAGGTGAAGTTCGACCATCTAATTAGCATTCCAGGCACACGATCAATTAGCGCTCACACTTCCCGACAGCCGCGAAATTAAAATGGAACACGGTGGTTAAGTGTGTGACCCTGTCCTTCCATTGCTCAAATGTCGCCAATGAATAAATTGGACGCTGCCCGGAGCGAAGCTATATATTCCCATATGAACACTTTGTGTATGATATTCCATTAACCTGCAGTGAGTTGGCATAGACTTTAGTCGGCTGAAATTCCACTCAGTTAAGATTCTCACACATGTGTAGACAGGTGGGGAAGACGCCACCTGACTTTTTACTTTTCCCTTGTTTGCACGTTGCTGGCATTGATTTTATTTTATTTTACTCTCTTTTTTGTCATGAGAAAAGGTGGTTCCACACACGAGGGCATACAGCAAAAATCAATCACTATTAACACTTTGTACCGGTGGCAAAAAGTTTATCACATGCGGTGTTTAGGTAATCAATAATTGTAAATATTGCAATTTTGATAAGCACTGAACGAGCGAGTGACCAGGAAATTACCAAAGAATTGCTTATCTAATTTTCAGGTTTTATTGAACTGAGCGTAATTCTATAAAAAAGGGTGCGGAGCCATTTATTGTCTTAAAATTAGTACCAGGAAAAAATTTATTCGATTTCTTACATAACTTAACTAAAGAAAAAATAGGAAATAACATCTTTTAAAACATAAAACTGATAAAAAAAAATCTAAAAATAACTATGTGCTATGAGTTTTTTAATAAGAGTATAATTATTTAAGTTCTTAAATTAAATGTTGGTTTATTTTATCATTTTAACTAAATACGTTGAACCATTTTCGTAGATTTGTAACTTACAGTTACGTCAATGCCTTGGGCCGTGACACTATTTTAAATGAAATGGTAACCTTGCCTATACATATGTACATACACATATCCATAAGATAGACTGAACGTCAAAAAACAACATGATATGTTATGGACTTTAATTTAATTTAGCAATATCCTTATCTTTAGGCTCTAGTGATTTGGCTAATATTTAAATTTGTAGGAAGTCTATTTGGGGTAAAAACAGCTGCGATCGCAAAAAAAAAAAAAAAACTCGTAACGTGCATGACGCAAATCGAGCGAAATACAAAAATAAACAAAAAGAAAGAAGCAACAAACAAATTAAAAGTTTCGTATTGCCCTTTCAGATACCCGGTACTTAACAATTATTTTTAGATTGTTCTTTCAGCTGGTCTCGTATAATAAATCAAAACTAGCAAACAAACATAGTCTGATTCTGCTTGGGGATATTAAATAAATCAATACGCCCTGTTGTTAAGGGGTATAAAAGAATCTGAACACATGCTGCCTTCGTTTTTGAATGCGGTTTTGCATATTTTACTTAGTGCTCGTACTCCGAAATGACATCGAGAAAGGTCGCCACGCCAAATTAGCATTCGCGTATTGTCGTTTGGCCTTGAATTTCGGCATTACGACAGCTTACAAAACCGCTTCTCCTCTAGTTACAAAAGTTCCACAAGATCTATTTTATTTGCTTGAAAATTCCAATATTTAGCACATATGGTGACGGTAGAAATAAACCCTTCAGCTTGGTATTTGCTTACGTTGGGGAGCACTCTGTGAAAGTGTCTAATATTTGCCGTGGCACTTTTAAAACACTATAAACTATATCTATACTGGTTTTGTTTCTGCTCCGAACAGTAAGATTTTAGCACATTTCGCCACCGTAAGATAAACTTTGATGATTGCGCGGCCGATCGGCACGGAAAGTGATCAGAGTCTATGGCGTTTTGCGAGTCAGACAGGGCTTTTTTATGGACTTTGGTCTTATACAATGTGATTCTTTGTGACTACTACGCAAGTATCTGCATTAAAATACCGCTTACATACGAATGCCCCCGATCGTTTTTGCAAGGCATAAAGTCTCGCACGATCTGATGTATTGGTGTTTTTAATTGGTTTTCCTATTTTTGTTGCCGCTCTGATAAGATTCACAAAGAAACGCCAACGTCAGCTGAGCACTTTTAATCAATGAACTCACTCGGTTTCGCAGATGCCCATTTCCACTTGAGCCCGTCCACACAGTGTGCACTCGCTAAAGTAAACACAAGTTTGAAAGAGTGTAGCGATACATTTTGGCTAACGCTTTGACATTTAAGCTTTTTCAGTAAAAACCTGCTTTGCTCAATGCCGTTCATTATGCACATTCACATGCACATCCACGCTCCACTGTGTACAGTAAAGACGCTTAGATAGTGAAATATTTTCCACAAGTGCGAGTCGCAATCCGACACACGGCGGCATTTAAATTCACTGGAGGTAAACACGCGCCTGCGATAAGAGCAAAAGACCTCTTTCGGTGAATTTGATGTATGTTTGTACATACCGAGTACATCGTATGTTGTCAGTTAGTCAATAAATATTAGAGGGTTTGCGCACAGAGAGAAATTTTGTTTAATTAAAATCATTTAAAAAAAAGTGTGATCGACATAAATATCATAGTTTTCATATTCAAATAGAAAAATGTTTTCAAATAAGAAATATCGACATGTTACGGTGTCGCAGAAATCTATTTCAACCAAATTCGATTCGTTTTTGCAAACAAATTCTTAGAATTTTTTAAAAGTATTTTACATAATAATCAGGTAAACAGTCAAACTAAATAATCATTTTGTAACAATTAAAAATACACAAAATTTATAATTTTTAACAAACAATCACAAACTGGACACGAGTTTTGAATAAAAATTTTTAAATATTAATACACATCTTTATAGTGACGTATACATTTTTTTTCATTTATAACGAATTTTTGGTTAATTTTGTGTTTGGTTAATTTTTGTTTGATAATCGTGTTGACACAGACAAAATCGAATTGGGTACGAATTTTAGTCATATTTTTCCCCTGTGTTAGAATCGATTTTATTGTTGTTTGGGTGGTGCCACTGGCAACCCGAGTAATCAATAACAAATTCAATTTTGCTTTAGCTATGCTCGATGTTCGATTGCATTTTTATGTAAACCTAGTCGTGTTTTTGTTATTACCGCTGCGATTTGAAGTGACTTGATTTGCGACTCGAGGCCAAGCGCCGATTGAGAATTAGTCAACAGCTGTGCACCGTTGCAAAAAACACTCGCACACACTCTCGAAAAGTCGATTCGATTCGAATCGGATCGATCTTGTTGAGCTTTTGCCGTGTGTAGGCCGCGCCGAACTATTGGGGTCTAGAGCTTGGAGCTGACTGCCGATGAGTGCTCGCTATGCTCCATCCCAATTCCAGCCGCAGCCCGCCCCAGCGGTACCAGTAGCAGTACCAGTACCAGTACCAGGCCGCCGAGAGCGAAAGTCCGCGGGGGCTCGCCGTATTTCATCGCGCTCATGCTTAGTGGTATAGTAGTGCTTTGGCCACTTGTTCGACTCGCTTGAGAGTGCTTATGGGTAAATTAACTTAATGAATGAGTGAGTGATTCCCCAGTACAAAGCTTACAGACAGCCAAAAAGACGTCAACTTGGACAGGCACGATCACTTGTTAGGTGTAACCACAGTAATCTCTCTTATCCAAACCACTAAAATAATTTCTATACAAATAGTAACTAAATGTTATTCTTAAATTTTCCCACTTTGTAGTTTGTAGTTATACATTCTATTATGTAAATGACATATTCAAATAAATTTGTATTTAATAATTTTATCATGAATATGAAAAATACATATAAAGGTAAACATACGTTTACAAAAAATATATATGTCGTAATGGGGCTAGCAACACTATTGAACAGTCTTTAAGATATGAATGAATACTTTTAAATTAAGGTTTTATATAGTTATATATTATTTATAACACAGTAAATGTTGCTTAATATCAATTTTTGATAGACATATAAGAGTTTTTGTTGTAAATATCTTGAACCAATTGGCCAATGCTATGTCTTTGGGCCTTCATTTTAAATAGCTTATAAAATAATGGAACAGAAGGTCGAAAAGGGAAATATGGGTAGAACGACTCGACTGATGATCCTGAATATGTACTTTATAGGATTGGAAATGCTTCTTTCTATCGGTGGCATGTCATTCCTAAAAACAATATACGCTTTTAAGCTATTATTAACGGGTATAATAAATGAACCTACTGCCGTGCTGTAAAGCTATATTATGTCACTTAATCAACATATTTTCACGATTTCTTTATGTTTCCGCCTGCAATCGACTTGACAATCGGTCAACGCTTCTAGCGCATATAAATAAAAGTACATAAAATAATTACTTGCGTACAAAGTGTAAACAAATTTTACAGAGTTTGTTTACACTTTTTACACCCTTACAATTAGTATTATTTAATATGCACAATCAGGAGAAATTTAATCAATATGTTTTAACAGGAAATATAAAACCAATTGTTCAAACCAACGTAATAATAAATAATGCTTTTGAGAGTTTCAGACTTTGATAAAAGCACTAAAAATTCTCGGTAAAATCTAAAAGAGAGCATGAGATAAAAGTTTTACGCCGTAAACTCCTCTTACTGAAGGTATATAAAATTTGATAAGAAGCATGATAAGTAAATAACCAAATGGTACTCAAAACGTTCACAAGAACTAGCATACCACGTCGTTAGAAAATTCCAGGACAGAGTATCAGCATCAACAAAGAGAAAACAATAGAGTTCCTCGTACTTTGTTTTCTTGTTCTCGACCCATGTACGTTTGTATTCATGCTTACTAATCTGAGCGAGTCACTGAACACTTAAAAAAATGGGTAGGCAATTAAAATGTTTTCTTATTTTTTATCTTTTTCTTATAAGACAGCTAGTCTTATACTTTTATTTAGAAGTAAATAAAACTAATGAAATATTGCTGTTAAATAAAATTCTTTTGTATCAAAGAGTAGTCTTTAATATTTAAAAGTTTTAAAATATGATTTTTAAAACTTTTAATGTTTTTAAAGCGCCTCAATAATTTTTAATATTTAAAAAATTAAGAGACAAGGGATTCTTAGCACTTCAATCGTCTAAAGGCAATGAAAATATTTTAAATATTTTTTTGAAGTGTATTTTGAGTGCGCTGGGTAAATGTGACCACCGAGATGACAATTGTTTCAATACGCACACATATTCGAGTGTTTGCTTGGGGAGCGGAAGACTCAGATAATCTGTGCGAAGCGAGAATCAAGTGTCACTTTTTTCTCAGTCTGCCACTGACGTTGGACCAAAATATAGACGGTCTCCCAATCCGAAGTGGAATATACTGAGAATAGGATTACTTACTAGTTATGTGGATTAAGCGCAGTTATGTCTGGAACATCGACTTCTGAACGCTCCAACTCCGAAGACAGGTAAGACGTTGGACACCCACGCTTCCAGAACAGAGCCTCCATATCCCGGTTCCAGCCCATCTAATCCCGGCCTGACGGAGGTGCTCAGGACCTGTGCAAACATTCAGTCGGTGGAGAGCTTGAACTACGAATACAACGACGTTTTTCTGACCGGTCCCAGCAACGGTAGCAAGATGCTTTCGCCGAATCCGTACTCCTTCATCTCAACCAGCAGCTGTCCCAGCGAGGATGTGTCATTTACGGAGAGCATTCTGGAGGACAACGGCCGTATATCGCTGGCGTATGAGAACCTGAAGACGATACCAAAACGTCTGGCAGACAAATTTGCGGCACAGACACGGTTTCTCGATCTCAGCCACAATGATTTCCGAAATCTCAGGTTTCTCTCGTTTTTCGAGGATCTGGACACTTTGATACTGGACCGCAATGTGAACCTGGACATAAACACTTTTCCCTATTTGCCGAGCCTGCGGATTTTGTGGTAAATTTAAGGGATTGATTTTATAAGAAATTCCAAGTAACAAGGCACTTTTCTCTCACAGGATCAACAACTGCGACATTGCTAATATTACCGACTGGATTCACCGTATCGAGCGGCAATGTCCCGCGCTGGATCAGCTATCTTGCATGGGCAATCCTGGCATTCGCACCGTTTTTGGGGGCCAAGGACCCCGCGAGTACATCCTGCAGGTGCTGCCCCAGCTGAAATACCTCGATGGTCTGCCGGTCTGCCCGAGCAGCGGGAGTGGTGGCCACACGGCGCTCTCCTCCTCGCAAGGACATGGCCAGGACTCCACCAGCAATTCGGAGAGGCCACATGCCGCACCTGCACTCACATTCAAGGACTTTTTCCGGTCAAAGCATTCGAGGAAATCGCACAGTGGACGGACCTACGGCAACGGCTCCTCGACAAATTGATGTGCTCCGCCAAAGGGAGGGGGGTATTCCACTGATTGCATTCTGTCCCATTGTTGGACTATTTTTAACCGTCCGCTGGATTATCAGCGCTGCCCTCGGATGCCCTGCAGTCGTCGATTGCACCTACAGTACGATGCAAGTAAATATGCATATGATAATTGCCTTGCACAGACGTATATCAATAAGCAATTGTATGGCGACGGACACGAACAAGCCAAGTGAGAATTAATCTAGTGCATTAAAGCAATTTTTACAAAAATACGAGTCAATGGACTCTATGAATAGTCAAGTAAACAGTCCGTATATGTATAACGAATAAATGTTCTTTTTAACAGCAGTATGAATGTCGTACAATGTCCGATTAATGTAACATGTGAATGCAATTGAGTTGCCGATGGATGAGCTTTTGTTTTCGAAATTAAGGTCATAAAAGAGAAAAAACAGAGCACTGAAATACAAGCGAGAAGTCGCATTTCAATGCTTCTGCATTGCAAACGAATTAAAATAGGTTAGGAAGATAATTGATTTTTCTAAATTTATTACAGGACTATTTTCGCATACCTCAATGTTCAAGGTTATAAATTATCCGAGTTCTAAGCCGTCACCGATACTTTAACAAAAAAATACTAGCTCGGATGCCACTGACTATAAAATTCTTTTTACTCCCGATACTTTAAATGTTTATCTATGTAACTTGCTTAAGAAACAGAAACTGGAAACCCATTTCTGAGAATATTTGGAATCATTACTTTCTGGCATCTATTGCACAAATGATGTGATATCCATTAGTGCTTATATTGGTCAATTCGATTTGATTTCCAGGTTTCCTAAGGCAGCCTCCAATGAAAGAATCAGTTTGTCGTTGTTCTTGATTGTGGATTGTTTGGTAGTGTGCTCCGAAACTTGTTCGAGGGCCCACTGACCCAGCTTTTGCAGCTCCTTGCGTTTTGAGCTCACAGCTCGGGAGTTGGCCAAAAAGTTGCAGCACAAGTAAATGCCATAAAGAGCTCGCAAGTTGTGGGGGTTCAGCTTCAAGGCCTGCGAGTAGTAAGTGCGAGCTGTTTCCACGTTCTCAACGCCACCCTGGAAGAAAAGGATTACGTTAGAAGAACTGTTCTGGGCAACAATTGGTATTTTTGGGTCACCATTGTGTAGCGAATTTCCGCCAGTCGCTGATGTATCAGATGGCTATGGGGATTGTGCAACAGGACCTCCTCCATGCAGAAAGCCGCCTTGCCGAACTCGCCCTCAGCCATGTACATCGTGCACAGCTCGTGCCAAGCCTCCTGATCAGACATAAACCTGTAGCAATCAGAAATAAGTGGTTAAATATTTGTCGCAATGGGTATTAGTTGATGAATATCTGATGTGTGCAAGAATGTTAAGAAAATCGAAAGGGGTTCACTCAGAGAATTATGCGAATCAATCTCTAATTTTAAATAAAGTAAAATTGAATAAAAGTAGAATTGAAGAACAAATTGACTATTCTGTAAAAACAATAAAGTTGTGTATTACGAAGTAAATCTTGTTACTCTAAAATAAATAAGGATAGGCAGTTAGTTTCAGAACCAATTCAAAAGCAGTTTTTTCAACCTAATGGTAAGCCATTTAAAATTGTTAAATTACACTAAACCGAAAAATTGAAATAATTAAAGTACCGAACTAAATTTTCGCTTAATTGTGAATGTACCAATTAGTAAAAGCAAGCCCTTGACTTTAACATAAGGATACTGTTCAATTGTTTCTTCAGTAAAATGATGAAACCTACTTCTTCAGATATTCGTTGAGCTCCTTGATGGCATCCAAGCGACGGCCGCGGGCCTTTAGGATGGCAATCTTGCGCTTCCTGGGCGCGGCATTGGTCTCGTCCTTGGCGATGATGGCGTCCAGGACCTCGTCGGCCTCGTCGTACTGCTCCAGGGCTTCGTAGCGCATCGCCTTGAACTTCATCACGCGCAGGCTGCCCGGGAACTCCAGGGCCAGCTGCTTGGTGCACTGGGTGGCAATGTCGAAGCGGGCGGTGTCCAGGGCCGCGATGATCACCTGCTCCAGGATGAGGTGGCGCTCGTTGCCGGTCTTGTGGACCTTGTCCTCCAGAACAGCCACCCACAGTTGCACCACCTCCTCGCTGTGGCGACCGGTCTCTTCGCGCCACTTCCTGAACTGATCCCGCACATCTACAAGGACCCAAGGATTATGATTCGGCAATTTTCATTCATGCCCCCATTTTCGGTCCACGAAAAGCAGGGACACATGCCAATTGGAACCACTGACGTGTTCGCCCGCATTTAGCCGGGAAAAGCGGAAAACTCACCCGACCAGCTCATCTCCTCGTAGTTTAACGACATGCTCACTCAAGCGGACTCGAATATCACCTCAATTTGACTTAATTTTCCAATTATAATCTACAACTAGCGATTTCCTTCCTGGCACAAAATGATAATAGCTAAAAAAGTGTGACAGCGCAATACACCGTTAAATAATACCAAGTATAAGCGGAACGGGTCTGCCAACCTAGCCCCAAAAAAGTATCGAAGTTTCAGTGTGACCGTTGTTCGATGCCTAGAAATACACTATATCAGGTGTGCTAGGCGCCCTTTTCAAATCATAAAAGATTTCACAATTTTCAAAAAAAATATTGCAAAGATTAACTAATCTAGATTTATAGAAACTGAACTCATGCCTGGTAGCAAAATATCTTTATATGTCTCCTATATTAATTTTTGTGGTGTCCTTTTCAGCAACCCAGTGGCTGCTGAAAATTTGTAGTATATTTTGGCTGAATTTGCAGCAATTCAAAATGTTTTTAAAAATACTGAAATAAACGTTTTCTTCTTCCAATGAACGCCTACTATTATAGGTTAATTCTTAACTTTTTTCTGCCTTGGTAATCTAATGATTTTAAAGTGCAGTACTAAATATAGATAGGCTAAAATTTAAAAAACGCGCCAAGCAGATCTGAAATAGGGGATTTTCTAGCAGCAGGCAACAGTCACACTGTCACTTGTTTCAATACCGTCAACACAAATACTCTCGGCTTTTCGTACCAAATTCCAAGCCGTGGGCTATCGCGCCGCTTTGCTGGATTCGGAGCGTCAGACGATTTGGGGCATCCAAGAGCACCGGAAGTAGTCAGCAATGGGTCCGCCAAAGCAACTGAAACGAGCCTTCCTGGGCTTCGACTTGAGCACGCAAAAGGTGAGAACCGGAGAACCGGAACTGCCCACGTTGTAGCTTTGTATGTGAGATGCGGAGGCGTCTGTACGGTGACTCCAACTTCATCTCATCCAACTACGTGGGAATGGTGTCGCTGGAAAAGGTCAACCGAACTTGGGAACCTGTTTTGCCCCTGAAGACAAACTATTCTTATCAGTGACTGCGACCCGGGGCTCGATTCTACATTCTCGCTTATCTGCCAAAGCCGCGGGCACAAACAATTTAACTATTATGGTTTGATTATTAAAATTCATGTTCGGATGTATTGGCCAAGGGCATTATCTTAATGGGCCGCAATAACTTTCGCAATTCCTGAATGACGCCAGCGGTGACTCCTAGTTGCCCTCTGGTTTGGTTTGATCGTTATTTTCGAGGTGTGTCTCCTTGGTGTATCTCTAATTGCTGCCCCATTTGCCCTTCCAGCTCAAAGCCGTCCTTCTGAACAGCAAACTTGAAGTTATTGCCGCGGCGGAAGTGAAATTCGACTCCGACCTACCGGAGTTTCGGACGACAGGCGGAGCCAACAACGGTCCCGACAAAAATGAGTGAGTCTGGTATTAAATTAGGTCAATTAATCTCCCAATATTTTGACATTTTCCATTATCAATTAATTAATTACTTATCTAAGAGTTTATCTGAAGATTTAATGGGATGGAATCGAAAATCCTTAAACTTCTTTCGATCAGAGCTCTAAAATGTCATGTTGGAAAAGCATTCTGATCAAAGAAATTGGGACTATAATTTCATTTTAAACATTTTAAAATGTTTCGCAAATTCTGAGGTAATGGCCAATATTAGCGAAAATGGTATCCTCGATGGACCGCGATATTTTAGGATTATTTTTATAAATTTAACAATAAATTAGACTATCTTCAGCTAAAGAATTCGCTCGCTTCAAAGCACTTGCAATACATATTTTAACTATTTTAAGGCTTATGAAGTTGAAATATTTGACAAAAAGTTAAACTATTTTTGGTTTGAGTAATGTGAGTTAGATTCAATGTTTGCTGCAGGGCTCTAGTATTAAACACTAAATAGTTTAATTTTATAGAGAAATATTACGAAATCCTGCAACTCTAGTTACACTAATCCGTCTTAACAGATACTTTGTACAGCCCGTGATGTGGGTGAAGGCCATGGACATTGTCCTGGACCGGCTGGTGATGCAGCAGGCTGATCTTAGTACAGTGGTGGCCATCAGTGGATCCGGACAGCAGCATGGATCGCTGTACTGGTCCAAGCACGGCATCAAGACGCTGCAAAACCTCAATTCCGAGAAGTTCCTTCACGCACAAATCGACGACTCAGCCTTTGTGGTCAACCGCACTCCCATTTGGATGGACTCCACCACGACGAAGCAGTGCCTGGAGATGGAGATGGCCGTGGGGGGCAAGCTTAAAATGGCACAACTGACCGGCTCCAAGTGCTACGAACGCTTCACGGGCCCCCAGATTCGGAAGATCTATCAGAAGCGCTGCCACGCCTACGAGGAGGCCAAACGAATCTCATTGGTCAGCAGTTTCGTATCGTCTCTTTTCCTTGGGTCCATTTGTCCCATCGACTTCAGTGACGGCTCCGGTATGAATCTGCTGGACATTCGCAAAAAGATTTGGTCCAAAGAATGCCTAAATGTCTGTGCACCTGATCTGGACGAGCGCCTGGGTGTTCCGGTCAGTCCGAACACCGTGGTAGGCAACGTATCCAAGTACTTTGTCAAGCGATTTAGCTTTTCGCCCGATTGCAAAGTGATCGCCAGCACTGGCGACAATCCCTCGGCGCTCGCTGGGATGCTTGTGAACAGCCAATGGCTGACCATTTCCCTAGGTACAAGTGACACCCTAATGATGAGCTTAAAGGAGCCACTCAACTGGGAGGAGGGTCATGTTCTATGCCATCCGACTGAAACGGAACAGTACATGACTCTGCTGTGGTAAGAATTGACGCGATATCAGATCACACACATAGTCTAATCCTATTCTCTTTTCTAGTTTTAAAAATGCTTCTTTGGTGCGAGAAGGAATAAACAAGACGGCTTCGGGCGGCAATTGGGAAAAATTCAACGAATATCTAGAGTCCACGCCCCGTGGAAACTTTGGAAACATGGCCGTGCACTTTAACGATATGGAAATTATTCCCAGGGCGCAGGGTGTTCTGCGATGGAGCAAGGAAATCCAACCCAAGTCCCCTGAGGCTGCCAAGGGTGTTATCAAGTAAGCAGACATGTTTTTTTAAACCCATACTATATCATATAGCTCCCATTAAAACAAGCGGCATATATATATATATATATATATATATATATATATATATATATATATATATATATTGCTACTTTCCTAATTTTAAATTTTGTTTCTTAAATTCTTTTAATAGTTTAATAATTCAGTATAACTCTTAATATACATAGCTGCCATAGCAACGATCGAATAATTTAGCTGAAAGTCATTAAAGCTTCAATGTTTTTTAACATAAATCTAAATTTTGATGTTTTGAAGGGTATATAAAATTCGACTTGCCGAAGTTTGCTTTCTATCATGTTTTTTAAGGGAACGAATAACAAAAAGTTTGTTTAAAATATGAGGTAGTCGTCATAAACAAGGTCAACAAAAACTAATCATCTGTTAATTGTTTTTCTTAGAATGCTAATTTTGTGCACCTGTCGCGCTAGTATTTATTTCACCGTTGTAATAATGATAGGTGTTGATTTTTTAAATACTTGTAATACTTCTTTAACATTTCTGAAAAACAGATTCAGCTCGCCTCAAATAGAAATTCGCGCCCTAATTGAAGGGCAGATGCTGCATCACCGGTCTGTAGCCGAAGACCTGGGCTACCATTTTGGACAAGAAACTAATATTCTGGTCACGGGAGGGGCATCTGTCAACAAATCTATCCTGCAGACAATTGCAGATGTGTTCAATTCACCTGTCTATACTCAGGTGCGTTCTTCTACCCCTTGTCTAAAAGTAAAAATAAAGACTAACTCTTGTGTTGCAGGACGAAGGTCATGAGGCCGCCCTAATGGGGGCCGCTTACAGAGCCGCCTATGCTTTGTACCTTCACGAGTTGGATAAAACGGCCACGCCTCTTTGTTACCGAGATTACATCCTAAGTCTGACTACCAATAAGCTGAACCTTGTCTGCGAACCAAACAAGGACAGCGAGAAAATCTACGCTCCGATGCTACTTCGATATCGCGAAATGGCGCGTATACTGGCCGAACCTTATAAATAGACTTACCGTAAGCCCAACGCAACATTCCGTTTTTTTACTCCATGCATTCCCTGGATTACTCTCCTTTTTATACGTCACCTGAAATTGATAGAACTAAAGTGCAATTAACAAATTCTGTGATTGACAATTTATTACAAATTTATGCGAAACCATATACAAATAAATTTCTATATATGGAGCAATCTTAATTGTGTCTGGTGTTTCTTTACTCTTAGATCCTCCTACTTCTTGCGACCGCCACGCTCCTTAACCTGTAAATGCACCGTGGTTCCATTCACCAGATTGTAAAAAGCCATGGTATTGCTGTCTTTGAAGAACATTCCCTGGAAAAATTAAGTCATTGTAATTGTGTTTCTTGTAGTTAGACATGTTTTGTACCTCATAGAAGATCTTCTGCTTGGCCGGCGGCATGCCAGTTTCATCCTGTAGCTTGGTCTTTAGATTGGAAATCGGTTCAGAGAGTGCCATGGTTACGGCTATCATTTGACCATTTAGCTTCCACTCAGATTTGTCTGAATTGGGCACTAGCACCTGAATTGTAACAGGGCTCTGAAAGTAAACAAGTACACATTAGTTTATGGAGCTCTCTTGGTTTTTACCCTTCTAAAAGCAGATCAATCACATTGAAAGAACTACCAAACCCAAACTCACCTTGTGAGTGGCAACAAACTCGGCCTCTGGGATTAGGTTATCTTCGGAACGGATCTTCTTGGAGGGCGGCTCATCCTCCATTGACATTAGGTCAACAGGGGGAGCAGGAGCAATCTGCTGGGGCGCTCCACCGGGCTGCATGTTCATGTAGCCTCCACCACCGGCTCCAAACGGCGGTTCTGCGAAATATTTAACCATTTATTTTGGATCGGATAGATGTTTTTCATTCACTTACGCATCATGGGTGGACGCAGTTGCATCAGCTGCATCACCGGCTGGGGCTGCTGCGGCGGATGGTGGTGGTGCGACTGGTGGGGCGGCGCCTGCTGATGCGGCGGATGGTGGTGGTGCATATTGTGGTGCCCGTGATGACCACCACCACCGCCGCCTTGGTGGTGCTGAGCCTGGTTGGAGTGACTGTGCTGCGACTTGGTTGACGGCTGCGGAGGGGCCGAGAGCGTGGCCTTGTTGCCCACCGGCTTGGGCCCGATCTTCTCCTTCTCCTCGTCCGGCAGCAGACCCTTGACCTTGTGGATCTGATGGATTTGTTCCTCCAGCGTGATATTTGCACGGGCTGCTCGCGTGGCCGCCTCCACACTGGACGTGTGTCCGTCCCAGGTGACGCGATCGTCCTTCTTGGTCTCCTCCTCACCCAGCTTCTTGCCGATAACCGTCTCCTCATCGCCCACACCGAAGATATCCGTACGGCGCTCGGCCAGCTGCTTAAGACTCGCCTCGATGGCTGTGCCCGCAGCGAAGACATTGTCCTGATTGATTTTCTCCACAGTGTGCTTGTCGCGCTGTTCCACCCAGCGCGGATCCAGCAGACCGATGCGCATGTGCTCCGAGACCTTGGAAGCCGGGATCTTCTCTCCCGTAATCGGCGAGATGAGGTACTCGTCCGTGGGCATGGGTGCCGGCTTTGGTTGCGTCGCTTTGGGATCGTACTTCTTGACCACAACCTTGTCGTGGGAGGGCGGCAGCATGGGCGCCACAGCCGGCTGCAGCTTGGTCGTGGGCGTGTCCTCGTCGCTGGAGGCCTCGTCCATGTCCTGCACCTGATTGTTGTCCCTCTTGGCGCCCGTTGGCTGGGTGTATGATGATACGTTCTTCATCTGAATGCCCACGCGGTTCTCCATCTGCGAGAGCTTCAGTCCGCTGTCCAGATGGCTGGTCACCTGAGCGTCGCCCTCGTCGTCCGACTCGATCTGCATCTCTGTGTCGCCCTCCTCGTCCATCAGGCGTTCCTCCATTAGCACACGGGCACCCACTTCGTCCGGGTTCGTTGGCGGCGGGAAGTTGCCCGACTCAAATGGCTGATAGTCCACCGTCTCCACCACCACAAAGTCATGCCAGTCGATCTGGGCATAGGCCACGCGCTCCCGCTCGATCTTCTCCTCCTCACGGCGACGTTGTGCTTCCTGGTGGCGCTGCCAGTTGGCCCGGTACTTGACGTGGTCCAGCACCAGGTTCATGCTGCTCCTGCCCGGAGCACTCTCTGCGCGCAGCTTGCCCAGCAGATCCTTGGGCGGTATTAGAACCTTGGTGTACTGCTCCAGCAGCTTGGTGAAGTACTGAAAGAGCGAGTGCTGGGGACGCAGGAAGTCGAACTGGAAGTTGCGCTGTTCCCGGCTCATCAGGTTGGTCAGAAACTGGCGGCCATTACGGGCCACAAACTGAGCTGTCAGCTTCACAATGTCCCTAAAATGGGAGGGGTGGAAGGATTAGTGGGCACGGGAGTTGCCTAGAAAAGATACTCACAAATCCAATGCCGAAATGGAAGGTGGATCGGCGATGAACTCGAACTCTGGCGGCGGCTCCTTGGGCACGAATTGCTGCTCCACCACCTGCTTAAGGAGCTCCTGCTGACGCTGCTGGGCGGCACTGGTCACCGCCAGCTGCTTCATGCCCGCAATGGCAGAGATTCCGGCATCTAAAGGGGACAAGAATTACATGAAAACGGGTTTCAGGTTGGAGTGTATTAAAATCTTGCCATTGCCCTCGCGGAACTCGTTGACCTTATGCCTGTAGTAGGCGTGGTAGGGGTCGCCGCCGTTTAGGAAGTTAAACTTCGGATTGCCCAGTTCATTTTGCCGGATCCGGGCCTCGAACTCCGGTCCATTGCGGGCCACAAAACTGGCGGTCTTGTCAACGATATCTAATTGTTAAAACATTGCTAACTGAGTACGGGGAAAACGATGTATCTGTATGGAATTAATATTAGCTGAAGGAAAATAAAAATAAAAAGGTTGTTTTTTTTTTTTTTTGCAAAGGATGCTTCTGACTTCCGGCGGCGGATAGATAATCCCGATGATGGGACCAGACATCGACTTGGGCTGGTCATTGCCGAATTGCTCCTCGGCGGCTTCCGCATCTAAAGCTGGCATGGCTGGTGAAATCGTCCTCTTTTATTGATAAAATTAAGTTCACTTTTCGGAAAACGAAAAAACGCTTGCTTAGATGAAAATATGGTTTTAAGTGTGCCCGTAGCTTGTCTTGACTAAAATCCACCATTCGCACGCAAAATAGTACCAGAAAAATACTGTTGTCTTTTTAAACAATTGTCGAAACGGTAAAATAACCGATTCTTTTAAACCAACACAACCAACAGAAACGGAATTTCTGTTTTTGTTAGAGATTATTTCAAATAAAGATTTGAGAACTATTATAATTTTCATAATTTACCATCTACCTATACATCTGACGTCTTTCTTTGTTTTTAGTAGCTTGCATTTGCCTAAATAATAATTCGGGAAACTTTCGACTTATACTCAGAAAAAAAATATATGATATTTATTAGGTTCTGATTTACTGTCAATAAATTCCGCTTATTAGGCTGTTCCAATATGTTTGAAAATACCGATTCGGTACTGTGTACTAAAACAAACGAACTGGTTCCAGATTGGCACTGTTTTACTTATCGATTAATTTGGCGGCTATTTTAAATTACACGTTCGCCATAAGCGTACACCCAAGCATTCCCAATATCTTATAAAAGCTTTAAAGTTTAAATAAAACAATTTTTCTCAGAAGGTAGATGAAATTCAAAGGCGTGGGTGCAAATGAATCGCTCAGGTGTGGTCGTCATTTGCATACTACATTGTTGTTTAAACTGCTTTGTAGGGGATGCACACACAAACGACTTGATTCACCAAGTCAAAACAAAAATAACATTTGTTTACGTTTGTTCGATTTTTTTATCCGATGAGAGAGTACGCTCCCAAGCCAGATGATGAGCTCCATTATGCGTGATAACGTTCCGACTCATTCTCATCGGATCGATTGTGTCTGAGATTTGACCCAAGCTCAGTTGTCTACGAGTCGCCGAGCTATTGGGACGGTTTAATTGGACGGAATAAGCGGACTTAATCCGAAACAGTCGCAGTTCGGATCACTTCCTTATCAAAACTTGGCGACGTGACTTAAATTCCATTGACGTGTGGGCATTTTGTGAATCACAACCGCCGGGTGCCTGAGAAATCCGTGTTCTAGAACAAAGAAAAAAGACTGCAATGGGTGGCATCAAGTACGTCTGCCTGCTGGCTCTCATAATAGGAGCATCATTATTGACAATAGGCGATGCAAAATGTAAGTCTGATAACAAATTGCCCCATACACTATATACAAATTTAAATTAAGTTTTTAGGCTGAACATTTAGCTTGCTTCGGTTTTAAAAATAGTAGTTTAGTAGACACAAGTATGGTAAATATATTCTAATTATCATGAGGTGTCAAGTATCTCGTGCTTACGTTAATTTCATTTACAATAGGACAGTAAATAACTAGAAAGCTTTAAAACCCCTTCGGCCTACGAGAATAATAAAAGTGTCAATGGTTATATTTTATTTTATTAATTAAACAAGAAGACTTTCAAAAAACGGACGATATTCGGCTCTTTGACATCTATTACGCACGTTAAAATCTAATTATAATTTTATCGACACTAAAAAAAGAAAAACTTGGGTACTCTTTAATCATCCTGTTTTAAAAATTTTCTTTCTTTTTTTGTTGGTGCAAAATAATCTATGGTCAAAGCTCACTAGTTATATCATCATCAATGACTACACTTGTTTTTCCCAACACACGTCTAATAATTGTAGTAAACATTAAAAAAATAATACATATATGAAAACATTTAGCTTATACATATAAAAACATGGCTGTATCTCTTATCTCTAAATAGGGAATCAAAATAATTTTTAAGAAATGTGGCAACAAGTCAATGTTTTTTACTGCTTAAGTTGCAAATTATGTTTCAATATGATTTTAATTTTAATATTACTCTTGACAGGGGATGCACACGATCTTTGTTTATTGGACCACTTTAATAACAATTCACACAAAAGCTATTTTTTATTGTTTGATCAGCACCCTTGCAAAGTAGTATTCCGAAATTGTTTCGATTAAAGTGTTGACAGAACCTAATTTGTGGAATATTCCACAGTAAAATTCAACTATAAGAGCACAAATAAATCATTCCTCCTAAAAATATTTTAAATAAATTAAAGCGGCGCCAAAAAATTATTTTCCCACGAATGATATTAACAAATTCACAAACTTCAAGAATGTCGAGGAAAAACAGTTCACCAACCTTTTGATTTAATTTAAATTTTTAACATCTTTTATTTTTTTTTATTTTTTAGCAAGACGGGATGTCGATGCAGAGTTAAACAGGATTCCTGCTGATAAATGGTTGCAATTGGTCAACTCAGCTATCGATTCTGTGAAAAGACAAAAGAGGTTTGTTAATTTTAAAATATTTCTTTGAAAACCGTTTAAATTTATAAAGTTGCATTGCCTAATTATGGAAGACACACTTCTTTCATTTTTAATAAAAAAAAAAGAAGAAATTGAAAATAAAAAAATACAATGAATTAGTTTTGAAGTTAAGATTTATTCACTTTATATTAGTCTTATTTTTGCTTACATATATTTACTTACAATTCTTTGTTTAAATTTGTAGCCTGGAGGAAAATCTGTTGAACTCCGACATCACTGTTAAGAACGGTAGCCTTTCACACGTCCAACTTCTGGATACATTGCCGAACTTGGCCTCAAAACAGGACAGTGAACTCGCTCTGAAGATCCTGAAGTCCAGCTTGTTCGTTTACAACAGTGAGTGCCTGCCCAATGGAATCAACGGAGATGAGTGTCGCGATTACCTGGAGCAAAAACCACTTCCCGAGGGCAGTAGTCTCCGGACCGAGTGCGAAACCTTGCTCAGGGGAAACCGGGAGGGTCACCATGCTTTCAGAAGGCTTCAAGTGAGCAGTCACTACAAGAACGGATTCTATGATGTATGTATTAGTTGCAAAGAATCTTGTTGTTACCCAATATAAATATACTTAAAATTCTCAGATGTTCCCCAATTCCGGTGGACACAATAGTTTGCCGGCAGCGTGGTCCATTAGTAAGGATCTCTACGAGCCCGATAGCATTCAAACGGCTAAGCAAATAAGGTTCGAGAGCAACGCAAATTTGGGACTGGCTCAATGGGCGCAGTTTGTGGAGCACGATCTAAGCAAACCCGTATCACAATCGATGAGTAAGTTCTTAATCAAAATCTTTACACAGAACCCAAAACATATATAAACTGAAGTCATTACCTTTGAATTCAGTTATCGGTTAGTGTTCTTTAAGAAGCAACATTTTAACGTTGAAGTAACGAAAGACCGATATCTTTTTTTACCATTGCATAGCGTATTATAACTTCAGTCAGAAGTTAGGAACGCAGTGAAGGAGACAATAAAAACTTAAAAATAAGAAAGCAAATATTTTTTTATAGATCATAAATCAGTTTGAAGTTTCATGTGTAGGCATAAGTATTTTGCCAATATACAATACTTATAAAACTAAAAAAATATTGTCCTCCTTTGGCTTCTATGACTTTTTGAAGGCTTTTGGATTTTGAAGTATCTCTGGAGATATCTCTTCCCGAAGGGAATTGGTCTCAGAAATAATTTCTTCTCTAGTTTTTTTTAACGAAACTGTTCTTTTGAGCTGATCTGTTCAAAAATTAAGATATCATCCGCGTTTTGTGGCACAAACACCAAGTCCTTTATACGCCACACATACACATTCAATAGTCAGAAAAAGATTTTGTCAAAATACCTTTAAATATTTTCATGTGATTAAAAGGAAGTTTATCAAAAGAATTAACATGGGAATAAATTTATAGCTTTACTGTCTTAATACATACTATTTCATTATAAAAATATGTTATCAAAAATATGAAGTTAAATGTTTTTAAGTCAATATTTATAATTAAAAATATGTACATTTTCTTAAGAAACTAGAAACTGTTACTAAAAAAATGATGGTAAATGATGGACAATAATTAATTCAGTTGACTTAAAAGCCTATTTCCCCAAATGAATTCAATTAATGATTTTTTCGTTCCCAGGCAATGGAGCTCCGATCGAGTGTTGCAACCGTGACCAGAACAACCTTCAGCCCCGTCACCACCACCCGGCCTGTGCTCCTATTATTCACCAGCCCAGTGGGAAATACGACGTGCCCAGCTGTCTCAATTATGTGAGAAGTGCTCTGGCCGTGGCCGATTGCAATTTCGGTGGCGCCGAGCAGGTGAGAAGAGTTTAGTAGTAATCGACATAGAGAATAACACTGGTTTTCCACGTTTTTAATAGCTCAACCAGGCCACGGGATTCTTGGACCTGTCACAACTCTACGGCTTCACTGCGGCGGCAGAAAATAAGTTGAGGCTCTTTGAGGGTGGTCTATTAAGGTCAACACCACGGGGAGAGTACGACAATGCCCTGCTACCCTTGGCCACTGACACCGAAGGACCCTCCTTCTGCGCCAGGGAAAAAATTGGAGACGGCACCTGCTTTGCGGCTGGAGACTCGCGGGTGAACAGCAACCCCTTCTCGATACTGATCTACACGATCTTCATGCGCAACCACAACCGACTGGCCAACGAGCTGCGTCTCAAGAATCGACGTTGGGGCGATGAAAAGCTCTTCCAGGCAGCCAAGGCAATAAACGTGGACATCTACCGTCGAGTAGTGATCGATGAGTGGCTGCCGGTAGTGCTCGGCGGCCCTTTAGCCATTGCTGTTAAGACACAACAATATACACGTGCCCTAGAGGTATCCAATGAATTCGGGGTGGCCGCGATTCGATTCTACTTGTCCATGCTGCCCAATGAGCTCCAAAATCTGTCCAAGGATAACGTGGTGCATGGAACTGAAAGGTGAGTGGCCTAACTTAATTTTTTTAAAAATTACTTATTTGTAATCTAGGTAGAATCCTATATAAACAGATCAGTCTTTCTAGTTTGATTTTATTAATAGAATTTAAAAATATACGGGAATGTCCCAGGAATCGGTTTCAAACAAAAATTTTGTTAGATTTTTAATAGTATTTGGTTTGTAGACCACCACGTAATTAACAGATTTCACAAAAAAAGTCATACAAAACCAAGATCAATAGGTAAAAAAAATTTATTTTTTGTTTTATTTCAAAGAAGATTTTCTAAAAATGTTTATGTAAGCAAAAATGTTGTTTTAAGCAAATATAATGATATACATGTGTTGCAACTTTAAATCAGAAATGGATTGATTGTCGTCTATAACCTAAACCTCTTTTTAAATCCTTTAAAATATTAACATGTAATTCCTCCACAGAAACAACGAATATGTCCTAGTCACCAAGAATCTACCGACGACCAACCTATTTGAGCTCAAAGAAGAAATCTACAAGCCAAAGCTCGAGTACACGTCGAAGAAGCTAAACGACATTCTCGAGAGTTTACTCAATCAGGAGACCATGAAAATGGATTCCGCCTACTCTGGTGGTGTGAGTCTGTCGATTTTCAGTCCTTCGGTCCAACCAGTATTGAGTTTCATTTGCAGGTCGTCTGGCACAAGGACACCAAACCCACCCATGCCGATATCCTGGCCTTTGACATCCAAAGGGGCAGAGATCACGGTCTGCTGCCGTACCATAGATATGTGGAATCGTGCACTCTGTCCAGACCCGTAAATAGTTGGACGGACTTTGAGAGCCTTATTCCCGAAGATGTAGGTTTTGAAATGAAATGACTGCCTTTCACAAGCCCTATATGAATTTTAATTACTAAATTCCTTCGTTAAAAAGGTGCTGGATAAGCTGAAAACGATCTACAATAGTTGGTCCGATGTGGATCTCATTGTGGGTGGAATTTCGGAGAAGCCTGTTTACGGATCCGTTGGACCCACCTTCAGTTGCATAATCGGTAGGTCCTCCTTACGAAACGATAGATCCGCCATATAAATCATTTATTTATAGGTGAGCAATTCGTGCATGTGCTTAAACATCACGCACAAAAGACGGACCACAAACACATTCGATTAGTGGAGCAATATCGGCATTTGAATGGAACCAAATTGCTCTGCCTGAGCTCTGGACTCTTGGCCGTTCCTCAAAATATCTTCCAGTTGCCATCGGCCAGGTTAGTATTCAATGTCGAAGAAAATAGATCACCTGTCACCCGCCTTTGCATTGAGTCACAGCAGTCTGTACACAACTTGATTCCCATTTGATATTAGACTGAGTGCCGGAGTGATAAGCCCGGCAACACCAATTATCTACAAATACTACTAATGATTGTTTCATTTTGTGTTTCCTTACAGTAATCGACTGGTCTCTTGTGAAGATGTCTAGAGGGTGTCAACACACCGCCCCCTTCCACACTTTGCAAACCAATTTTAGATTAAGATCCAAGCCAAATGAAATTGTAAAAGTCAAAGCTCAATAAATGCCTCAATATCTTGATTCCAATTGTTAAGTGGTTTGCTTACAATACGTTCTGTATAAGTAAACATGGGGCTTGCTGATCGATTGTCATACACTTTTGATAACTCTTAATTCAGCAGCGGCATTGTTAAAGTCACGCAATATTACTACAATCAACGTTGTTACAGAAAGTGTTGCGATAAATGTGATACGTGTATTGCCATTTTCAACAATTTCCATTTTTAACTGTCATGAGGAACGCTTTTTTCTGTTATAGTTAGCAAACATCAACAAAAGGCAAGAATGTCACAATGATTGCCAATAAAAAATTATGACCCAATAAACGAATAAAACTTATTTCTCAGACCTTTGAAAAAATTGTTTTAGAGCGTAAATTTTATATTTACGAATTTTTTTAATTACGAATGGTTCATATGCAAATAAATTATTTTGAAGATAAACGTTTGAGAATGTTGAAAGTTAGGTCATTTCAAAATATTGATAGCCTGTTAAATAGATCAATTATTTTGATAAGAATTTTCATGAATTTGTCGTATGATATTTTTAAACTGATAGCAGACAAAGAAATTTAGGGGTAATCAAAATTTTGATTCGAACATTTATTTTTAATTATTTCCTAAATACAACCTTCAAATATATAGTTTTTTTAAGAATAAAACAACAATAATTTTGAATTAGAGTGCTTGGTAAAAACGCAAACCTTATAGAAAATCTCTACAGCTTTAAAATAAAAATGTAGATAACGCTAAAATGTATTTTTAAATGTTGTTTAATAAACACTTTCGCTTTGTTGTTGATAAGTTCGAGCGTTTAACTAGTATATATAGGTCTAAATGGGGAACTTGTCACTTGGGGATTACTTTGTGGGTATGCCAGAAATGTTACTCTGGGAAACTCGCCTAAATTCCTTGCACACCTTCTGAGTATTTGTTGGTCGCCCCCGCTGACCAATTGGTGCGATAACCTTGTAGGCCTTGTGGGGATATCAAAGCCCAGGGCAGCGCCATCAGACTATTCCTATGAGAAATGGTATATTTGTTTCTGTTGTTTCTCCGCCATGAGATAAGATTGCCAAAAGTGCCAATGGGTATGAAAGCGATACGATGCACAATCGCCGCAGAGATAAGGCACACTTTTGCTTTTGCGATAACGCAGCGCTGAAACAATTTCAGGCAATCAATTAATGAGCGGGGGGAGCCAGCTGATATCGCCGATTCCCTTTGGGCCAGCCAACGTCAGTTAGTTGGAGTTGGAATTTGATTCGCAGCGGGTCGAGAGTGCGAGTTCGGGCCAAAAACAACCGAGCAAATATATATATAAATAAAGATCGCAGTGGCCAGTACAAGGTAAACCATCGGTTCATCGAAGTCCGTAAATCACGATGCCAAAGATATGGCGCTGACATCGGTATCTAAGGATCTGATGTCATGCCAGTGGGAATAACAAATAAATAAAACTCCAATCGAAGCATCGACCATCCGATGGCGATAGATAATTGACAAAAATCACTGCCTAAAAATACGCGATTAACTCTTGTATTCGGGTCTTTATGTAATGAGCTTTCATTAATGATTGCTTCATGTGCCAAGAATTTCCTGGCTTTGTGATAACTGCAAAAGTAAAATAATGCCAGCAAGGTGCAAAAACAAAAGCAAAGGCAATCGCAAAGTCAGTTCCTAATGGCGTTTATCTAATCGGGCAGGTGGCTACCGCGCAGGGAAATGGGGTACTGCTTCTCATTAGAACCTATATACTTCTGCATGTAAAGGTATCTATCTATCTGGATCCCATTGCCCACTCGGAATCAATAGTTTCCCAGAACGCTTTGCTTCCACATCGGCGGAATGGTCAAAGCAGGCAATAGGACCTTGAAATACTTCCGACCCATATCGGTTAAATATGGGTAAATATCCCATATAGTCAGATAACTATCACAGAGTTCGCCGCTTAGATATTTTGCACAAACCAATCATAGTCTGGAGTTTGGGAAAACCGTATAATAATAAATCAGTTAAAAACTTCACATACAGTGCAGCTAAATATTTGTATTTTATTATTCCATTCATACATACAGCTTGATACCGAAAAAAACAAATCTGGTGGAGTTACAAGCGTTACAAATCAAAATAAAATATAACGAACATTAGCATAATTTCTTTAAATAGTAAATGATTTTTTTTTGTTAACAAATAGGACTGTAAGTGAATTGGTTCATGGAATTACAAAATGTAAGCACTGAAATGGCTTATTGACAATTGGCCTTGTTTATATGTAGTGTTATTATCAAAAAAATGTTAAAGAGTGTGGAACTGCGCAGTTTATTGTCTATTTTCGTATGAAATGGTGCATTGGTGACGACCACCAAGAATTAATGATACATATAAATGATAGATAATGAAAATTCGAATTACCCATTGATTCAGGATGCCACGCAACGGCTACGAAAGTGGAACCCCCTCTGTCGATCAGACAAATGGGCACTATGATGAGGTCAAACCCACCTACGCCCTGGAGCACCTGGCCACTTTCAAGCTGAAGAACGAGGCCGAGATCAAGCAGCCGAAGGAGAAGATGAAGCTGCTGATCGAACTGGACAAAACGGGGGGCATTTGGCCGCACAAGATGTTCATGAGCTTCAACGGTCAGTGGCTGGTGATGCTGGACAGCGAGATGAAGGAGATCGAGAATTTCCCGGGCAGTTTGATCACGGAGCCAACGGCTTTCATCAGCGAGCATCCGCAGGAGTCCTACAACAACATCCTGATCTTCTCGGTGCCGGGAATCTCACTTGGTAACACTGAGATGCACATCTTCCAGGTGAGCATGTTGCATTCGCACTGATCGGAGTTCTGATATCTCTTAAATCTCTTAGGTGGCCGATGTCAGTTCAGTGCATTTGGTAGAGGACTTGAAGACGGTGAGTTTTGTAGACACATGCTTAGTAATCACTGTAATCCAACCACCTGGCTCTTCCAGCTGAGCAAGGGCACCCCTGTGACAGTGGATCGCAACAAGACGCCCATTCTGCTGCCCAAGCCGGACAGACCTCAAAGTCAGCAGGCCAAGGATCAGTATGGAATAGCTGCTGCTGTGGCCGGCATCGCAGCGGAAAAGAACGCCCAGGACAAGGAGCAGACCGAGAGGGATGTGCAGGTGATCAATCACTGTTTCGAGGACATCGAGAGGTTCATGGCCAGACTTCATTACGCCGCCGAGGCCCTCAACGAGTTGAAGCTGCGCAAGGAGCAGCACAATCCCCACGGGGAAGGCCTCCTGGTCCTGAGATCACGACCACCGATCGAGAGCGAGTTCCACGACATTCTGGCCAAGGTGAAGCTGGCACTGATATACTCCGTTCGGCTGCAGAACCACTTCACCAAGTCCACCGACCCAGTGCACAATGTCTTCATCTCGCTGCAAACCATCGTGACCGTCTGCAATGACATCTACGTGGACGCGGGTCTGCCGGAGTCGGTGGTCAATCCCCTCCTGCGCCGTGAGACGATCGCCTTCCTCAACGGAACCCTCGACTCCAACGAGAAGCAGCTGTGGCAGAGCCTCGGTCCCAACTGGACGGTGCCCAAGGACCAGTTCAAGGATCACAAGAGCTCGTATCATCCGATATTTTACGACGATTGGTCCCCCGACTGGGTGGTGGACGAGGAGGTGCAGTACCTGGCGCCTGCCCTCAAGAAGACCGCCACGCCATCGCCAGTCCTAGTGCCCGTGCCCCCGAGCCCGGGTCTCGGAAATCGCACCTGGCTGAGTCGTTTGGAGAGCCGCAACGTCAAGATCGCCGAGGTGACCTACAACAAGTCGGCCACCAACGACAAGGAACTCAAGGTCACCAAGGGGGAGTATTTGGAGGTACGTAAACGATAATAATACATAGCTCCATTAAATTATGATCAATTAAGTTATCCGAATGAGAGTTACATTCATCTAATGCCATTAGCATAATTTAAACTGCACTTATCACTTTAAGAGTTTGTTTAAATTGGCCTTATCTCGTTACAAGGTTGTTTATTTACTTGGTAATTACGACTGATTAAACTTGATTTAAGATTTTTAATTTTCTGCTGACGTACTTAAAAGATAAATTCCAGTTTAAATAATTAAGGTATGCCCATAAGGGTTGAGTCACTAAATTGTTTGTCCCTAAAAATAATATTAATTTTTATTATACGTAATTAGAACGTCTGTCAAAAAGATTTCAGCTATCTCAAAGATAATAGACTTAAGCTTCGTAATACGCGTTAAAATAGTAATGAACTTATAGAGGTAGGAAATATGAAACGGTTTATAATCTACATGACTCAATATTAAAGAATAAGGGGAATCTCCTATGTCTTATGGTAGAGATTCTTAACGAAAAGGAGGTCAATAGCATGTTGTTAGTTTTTAGTAGAATACATGTACATATGAACGCCTAATCTTATCGATTGTGCAGTTACGAGAGCGCTTAACTATGGCTTACTATTAATGGTGCTCTTCCGATTCTAAGATTATCGATGACTCTCGCAACTGGTGGAAGGCCCGCAACTCGTACGGAAACATTGGCTACGTGCCGCACACCGTGCTCACGCCGTACAACTTTGAGCCCGGCGCAAATGGAAGGGACACGGAGTCCCTGGCATCGATGGCTCTGACCGATAATGGCGGCGAGGAGGTCAACCCCCCACTGTACCGCAACACAATGGCCATGTACACCGCCCCCGTGGAGCCGGTGACCAATGGAAAGGCCATGCCGCGTTCCTACTCCATGCCCAATGTGCCCGTTCCACCGCCGATGCCGCCACCAAGCGACAGCCAGCCGCCCACGCCCAGCGGCACCCTCAAGCGCAACATGGCGGCGGCAGGAGCACTGGCAGGTGGGTCCTTACTTACTTTACTCACTTGTCTAAAGTATAGATATATTGTTTGAAAATTTTAAAACGATCGGTGCAGCAGTTTTTAAGTTATGATAGACACTTACTTTGAAAGCGTTAGTTTTGAGAAAATCACTTTAAGCTTTTGAACATTAG